TGCTAGAAAGAAACAAAGAGCTGGGAGAAAAGTGGAAATTGTTTTGTGTTGGTAGATTCCAGTTGTTCCTGGAAGGGCCAGTTGGACAACCATGGGTGTTAAATTGTTGTTTTGTCCTGCTCTGTGCAGTGTGGCTCCGAGTGGAGGTTTTCTTCTCGGACTGCTCAGGGAGTAGAAGCTGAGCCAGCCACACAGTACCGTGGGGCACATCCAGCCAGCACCCATGGTGTCATGGAGCCATCGCCCAGGCAGAGCGCTGCAGTGAGGCTGAGCACCCTCTTGTTCTGCAAATGAGGAAACAAGGGGGCCGAGGGAGACCATGAGACTTGCCTCAAATCACACAGTTAATCTATGACAGGGACACACGTGAGAATTTAACCCGAAAAAAAATTCCTGGAAAATTATTCTAATTGACTAAGTGGTATTTTTTCAAAACTGTGATTTAAATATATCTGAGAACAGCTCAGTTGTCATCTCCAGGAATCCTTCTGTAATCAGATGGGCTAAGGGCTCTTTCTTTGTCTTCCTATATCTCCTCCTGCATCTTTCTTCTATAGCTCTTGGTATATTTGGTAGAAATTATCTGGTTATGTTTCTGTTCATAATTCCTCAAGTACAATCATCTTTAGAAGTTGTGTAATTTATGTTTGGAGTCCCTGGGTGGTGCAAATGGTTAATGCACTTGGCTGCTAACTACAAGTTTGGCAATTCGAGTCAGCCCAGAGGTACCTCTGAAGAAAGGCCTGACAATCTGCTGAAAAATCAGCCATTGAAAACCCTATGGAGCACACGTCTGCTCTGACATACACATGGGGTCACCATGAGTTGGAGTTGACTCAACAGCATCTGATTTTGGTTAATTCTTATTTATTGCTTATTTCTTCATGGAGCCCTGGTGGCATCGTGGTTAAGTACCACAAAAGGTCAGCAGTTCGAATCCACCAGCTGCTCCTTGGAAACGGTATGGGGCAGTTCTGCTCTGTCCTGTAGGGTCACTTGGAGTCGGAATCAACTCGATGGCTGTGAGTTTGGATTTTTTTATATATTATTTTATTGTTCTTATCTGTACTTCATAGGAATGAAGTAACTCCAAGCAATATTAACCTCCTCTCCTCATATTTTTGCAAAGGTGTTTTTGAATGACATTTGAGAGTGCTCTATTTTAATTACTGTGGTCAGCTTCTGCCTGGGCAGTGGTGGTATTGGGAGGCTACAGTGGGTTGGGAGCATAGAGTTAAATTATTTGACAGCGGGAAGCCTGTGCTAAGTCAGGTAGACACTACTGAACAAACTTGGGTGGGGGCAGTGGGGAAGACCCGTACTGTTGAACCTCAGTATTATGGCCAGCGAAGATCAACAAGGAGGCCCATCGTCCTGTTAGTAGCCAAAACGCTCTAGGAGTGAGAGTGGAATAACCTTTATAAACCTGAAACTGTACCACATGGACAAATAGAAACTATTAACATAGACAAGACCTTGAGGCCTTAGTGTTATTGAGATTCCAAGTTTGATTCCTTTTTTCACACTTTCTTTTTCTATTAAAAAATTTACCAGTATATAAACAAGTATAGAGAATAACGTATTAGCCATCCCTGTATTTTGTATTCTCTTCCTCTCTACTCAGAGGCTACTATTATGAATTGGTGTTCGTCCCTCTGATAATCTAACTTTGACGCCTCAGGGCCTCCCTCAGTCCAAGGGCTCCTGTTTAATAGATCAGGAGCTGTGTTTTGGAGAGACTGAGGCTCTTGTAATGATTGAAATGCAGCAGTGAGATCAGACTGAAGAGAGGCAGTCTGACCATAGATCAGACCCAGATTCTGGACCATCTGAAATGTCCCCAAGGGCCAAAGGGAATGGTTGTTCTCGAAAATCACTTCTCGTGGCAGAGCCTCAGAAAGATTGCTTCTTGTCATTAGCTGCTGTGACCTCACACACAGTGGGATCAGACCATTGTGATCCGTAAGGTTGGGTTTTTTTTTCCTAGAGATTATTTTTTTTTCCATTTGTAGCACATGAAAATCCATAGAGTTTTCATTGACTGATCTTTGGAAGTAGATCGCCAGCCCTTTCTTCTTAGTCCGTCTTAGTCTGGAAGCTCCACTGAAACCTGTTCAGCATCATAGCAGCATGCAAGCCTCCAGTGACAGATGGGTGGTGGCTCCTCGGGAGGTGCACTGGCCAGGAACCAAAGCTGGGTCCCCTGCATGTAAGGCGACAACTCCACCACGGAACCTCCACTGCTCCCCCCTCCTGATATAGTTTGAGAAAATATATGGTTTAGAAATAGAGTTTTTCAAGCTCTTTTTTAATCGTAACCCACAAAAACAAATACACGCTAACAACTAAATTTTGCCTTGTGACTCTGAACATGTACACACTCACTCACGTAAAACACAAATCTCTGAATGAAAAACTTTAATGAAATAATGTTTGTTCTTTCTATGTTAGCTGCTCTGTTAAATAGTCTTCTGTTTTTACAGAAGCTGTTTGGGCCCAATAAATTCATTTCACATGCCATTAATAGATGGGAACCCACGGTTTAAAAAACAGCCCTGGTTTAGAGTTGTTTCATGGAGCAACAGCTTTTTAAAAGTTATGATTAATTTAATTCGGCTAAACATTTTTATAAAGGTCTTTTCTCTGCCACTGACCTAAGCTTAAAGATTTATGCAACAGTTTACTAATAACAAATCCCGTGTGAAACTAAGCAGAATTCAAAACATTTTTTGGGTTCAGATTATTCTGTGTCATGCCACTTCTCCTCCTCCAAACTCTCTAAACCCCTTCAACACCATTGCTTTAAGGCAGTCTGTCTAGATAAAGTAAGCAGAGCTGGGAACTTAACAATGTAAATTCATGATTGTTAAACCACAAAATCAACCTTTACAAATAGAACTGAGTGTAAGTCAAACTGCTGAGTGAGAAAGAACTTTCAAGCCCTCCACTCTTCTCTTCATCATACTTTACTTCTATCTAATGCTAAATAAAGTCCAGACGAGGGCTCAAGCGATATAAATTTTGCTTTATACTTAATAAACATCATCAATTTTTGTGTAACCAGGCTGCCAGACTCCTCACAGGAGGTGCCTGATGATGATAATAATAGCAAGGTTTGTATAGCACCTTTGTTAAAAGAAGTTTATATATAAAAGTACATTTAATGTGTATTAAACAAGCAGCTGTTAGAGATGAGCTAGATTGACTCCAGGACACTAAAGTGGGCCACCTTCCACCAACATGTTATCAACAGTCATTTTAAACATTAACAAGGTACTTGGTTTCTAAAATCTGGAAGGAGCAGGTTTTCTTTAAGCCAACTACTTCACAAAAGAGGAAATGCTGCTCTATCTTAGGAAATTTAAATGAGACTGTGAAAAACTAAAAAAGAATGTCTCCTTTGGAATAGAGGGCGGAGAAGAATTCAGCTGGTTTTCAGGCAGAATAACAAATGTGACAGCAGTATTATTGTGTATGCAGCTGTGTATGCAAGTGGCTGTGTCTGACTTCTGGAAAAGCAGTTCTCAGACTTTTGGTGTCATGACCAGTTTACACTTTTTAAAAAATACTGAGCACACCAAAGAATTTTCCTTATGCAGGTTATACCTATCATTTTTTTCTGTCTTGGAAATTAAAACTGGGAATTTTTAAACTATTTGATTCATTTAAAAACCATAATAAACTCATTACATATTAACATAAGTAACTTATTTTTAAAATAAAGCTATATTTTCCCCAAAATGTAGTGAAAATCATGTCATTGTTTTACATCTTTGCAAATCTCTTTAATGTCTGGTTTAATAGGTGACAGCTGGATTCTTACATCTGCTTCTGCATTTAGGTGGATAGGTGCTATCAAGCTGACACCAACTCATGGTGACCTTGTGTACAATAGAACAGAATATTGCCCAGTCCTGTGTCATCCTCATCATCACTGGCATGTTCACGTCCATCTTGTGCCAGTCCGTCTCACTGAGGATGTGCAACACCCTCATTGGCCCTCTACTCTCTGCTTTACCAAACATGATGTCCTCCTCCTGATGATGTGTCCAAAGCAAGCTGGACAATGTTCTGTTGTGATCCATAAGATTTCACTGGCTAATTTTCAGAAGTAGATCCCCAGCCTCACACAGATATGTAATTGGAAAAGAAAGGAACTGACAGCCCCACTGAAGGGCTCTCAGGGACTCCCAAGGGCCCTTGGATCACACTTTGAGAACCACTTTCCAAGAATATATATTAAGAGTAGCTATACTTGAGTGGTGAGATTGTTACTAATCCTGATGTTTTTACCTATCATTTATATATATTTTCTACAATGAAGCTAGATTACTTGTGCAAACTATAAATGAGAAAGAAAGAAGAGCCAGTTGGTTATGGAGGCCCTAGAAACCAAGAGAGAGAAGTTTGTACTGGGAAACCTGGCTGTGCAAGGAGCAACTGTCATTTCTTAAACAGAAAAATGGCTTGAAAAGTTATTTGGGAGTAACTGGATTAGAATTGGAAGAGAGGGGAAGGAGAGAAGCTATCTCAGAGGTGTTGCAGTAATCTAGGTGAGTGATAAATTCTCAGGCGTTGATAGAAATGGAGAGAAAGGGACAAAATCTGAAAGACATTTTGAAGACAGAATTACCAAGAGTTGGACATGGTGAACAAAGGAGAGGAAAGAGTCAAAGATGACCACAAGTTTTCAAGTCTAAAACATTTGAAAAATGTTTCCTTCTTTGTATTCAACTTTAACCTTCTTTGAAAATTATACTGATTAAGCTAATTAAAATCTTGTCTTGTTTTTTCCAGAGTTGCTGCTGTTCAAGGGCTTAGGAGAAAGTCAACACACTTCCCAACTTGAATCAGTGACGCTTACTTCCAGAACAGGAAGATTTGTGCTATGACATTCCTTGAGAGTTGCTTGCTGGTTCTTTCCCCTGGGTCCTGTGTGCCCTGAGAGGTGGTGGTCTCTCCGGTTTCTGTTAGCACTGGATGCCTTTAGTCCACCTCTTATGCACTCCAGCACCCCCATCAGCTCCCTCTTCTCCTTCACCAGCCCAGCAGTGAAGAGACTGCTAGGCTGGAAGCAAGGAGATGAAGAGGAAAAGTGGGCAGAGAAGGCGGTAGACTCTTTAGTGAAGAAATTAAAGAAGAAGAAAGGAGCCATGGATGAGCTGGAGAGGGCCCTCAGCTGTCCAGGGCAGCCAAGCAAGTGTGTCACAATTCCCCGGTCACTGGATGGGCGGCTGCAGGTGTCCCACCGCAAGGGTTTGCCCCACGTCATTTATTGCCGAGTGTGGCGTTGGCCTGATCTTCAGTCCCATCATGAGTTGAAGCCACTGGAATGCTGTGAATTCCCATTTGGCTCCAAGCAGAAAGAGGTGTGCATTAACCCTTATCACTACCGCAGGGTGGAGACTCCAGGTGAGGTTTCTTCCTGATGTTGCAGCTTATTTAAAAAGTTAAGCTGGTATGTCTCAGTCGACAGAAAATGACCGAACACCAGCAAGACAGGGGCTTCCCCACCCCGAAAAGAGAAAGAAGTGATGGAGGTTCCCTTTTTTTTCTTTTCAGTTTTTTTTTTATTCTACTTTAGATGAGCGTTTACAGAACAAATAGTTTCTCATTAAACAGTTAGTAGACATATTGTTTTATGACAATGGTTAACAGCCCCACGACATGTCAGCCCTGTCCCTTCTCAACCTTGGGTTCCCTATTAACCACATTTCCTATCCCTTCCTGCCTTCTAGTCCTTGTCCCTGGACTGTTGTGCCCCATTAGTCTCGTTTTATTTTATGGAGCTGTCTAATCTTTGGCTGAAGGGTGAACCTCGGGAGTGACTTCATTACTGAGCTAAAAGGGTGTCCAGGGCCATACTCTCAGGGTATCTCCAGTAAGTCTGGTCTTTTTTTGTGAGTTACACTTTTGTTCTACATTTTTCTCCAGCTCTGTCAGGGGCCCTGTGTTGCGATTCTGGTCAGAGCAGTCACTGGTGGTAGCCTGGCATCATCAAATTGTACTGGATTCAGTCTGGTGGAGGCCATGGTAGTTGTGGTCCATTAGTCCTTTGGATTAACCTTTCCCTTGTATCTTGTTTTCTTCATTCTCCCTTGCTCCTAAAGGGGTGAGACCACTGGAGTATCTTAAATGGCTGCTCACAGGCTTTTAAAACCCCAGACACTAGTCACCAAGGTAGAATGTAGAACCTTGTCTTTATAAACTATGTTATGCCACTTGAGCTAGATGTTCCCCGAGACAATGGTCCCCACAGCCCTCAGCCCAGCAATTTGGTCCCTCAGGGAGTTTGGAAGTATCTATGTAGCTTCCATGACCTTGCCTTGTACAAGTTGTGCTGGCTTCCCCAGTATTGTGTACTGTCTTATCCTTCACCAAAGTTACCACTTATCTATTGTCTATTTAGTGTTTCCCCCGCCCCCCGCCCCCTCCCATCCCTCATAACCAAGAAGATCGTTTCTTTTTGTGTGTAAACTTTTTCATGATTTTTTTACAGTAGTGGTCTCATATGGTATTTGCCCTTTTGTGATTGACTTATTTCACTCAGCATAATGTCCTCCAGTTTCATCCATGGTATGAGATGCTTCACAGATTCATCATTGTTCTTTATCATTGTATAATACTCCATTGTGTGTATGTAGCATAGTTTGTTTATCCATTCATCTGTTGATGGGCATCTAGGTTGTTTCCATCTTTTTGCTATTGTGAACAATGCTGCCATGAACATGGGTGTGCATATATCTATTCGTGTGATGGCTCTTATTTCTCTGGGATATATTCTTAGGAGTGGGATTTCTGGATTGTATGGTATTTCTAATTGTAGCTTTCTAAAGAAGCACCATATCATTTTCCAAAATGGTTGTATCATTTTGCATTCTAACCAGCAGTGGATAAGAGTTACAATCTCCTTGCAGCCTCTCCAACATTTGTTATTTCCAGTGTTTTTGATTCGTGTCAGTAATGCTGGGGTGAGATGATATCTCATTGTGGTTTTGATTTGCGTTTCTCTTATGGCTAGTGATCGCGAGCATTTCCTCATGTGTCTGTTGAACGCTTGAATATCTTCTTTGGTGAAGTGTTCATTTCCTTTGCCCATTTTTTAATTGGATTATTTATCTTTTTGTTGTAGAGGTTGGATTATCTTGTAGATTTTAGAGATTAGACCTTTGTCTGACTTGTACTGTCCTAAAATTTTTTCCCAGTCTGTAGGTTCTCTTTTTACTCTTTTGGTGAAGTCTTTTGAAGAGCATAGGTGTTTGATTTTTAGAAGATCCCAGTTATCTAGCTTATCTTCTGGAGTTTGTGTGTTGTTGGTTATGGGTTGTATCCTTTTAATGCTATGTATTAGGGCCTCGAGCACTGGTCCTATTTTTTCTTCTATGAACTTTATAGTTTTGGGCTTTATATTTAGGTCTTCGATCGATTTTGAATTAGTTTTTGTATGTGGTGTGAGGTATGGGTCCTGTTTCCTTTTTTTTTGAAGATGGACATCGTTTTGTCAGCACCATTTATTAAAAAGACTGTTCCCCATTTGATGGACTTTGGGCCCTTGTTGAAGATCAGGTGATTGTAGGTGGATGGATTTACATCTGGGTTCTCCATTCTGTTCCACAGGTCAGTGTGTCTGTCGTTGTATCAGTACCAGGCTGTTTTGACTACCGTAGCTGTAGAGTAGGTTCTGAGGTCAGGTAGTGTGAGTCCCCCTACTTTATTCTTCTTCAGTAGTGCTTTACTTATCTGGGGTTTCTTCCCTTTCCATATAAAGTTAATGATTAGTTTTTCCATCTCTTTAAAGAATGTTGTTGGTATTTGGATGGGGATTGCATTCTATTTGTAAATTGCTTTGGGTAGAATTTTCATTTTCACTGTGTTGAGTCTACCTATCCATGAGCATGGTATGTTTTTCCATTTATGTAGATCCCTTTGGGTTTCTTGCAGTAGTGTTTTATAGTTTTCTTCATATATGTCTTTCACATCCCTGGTTAGATTTATTTCTAAGTATTTTATTTTTTAGAGGCTATTGCAAATGGTATTGTTTTCCTGATTTCTTTTCATCATTCTCTTTATTGGTTGTCATGGATTGAATTGTGTCCCCCCAAAATATCTGTCAACTTGGCTGGGTCATGATACCCAGTATTGTATGATTGTGTACCATTTTGTAAATCTGATGTGATTCTTTGTGTATTGTAAACTCTATCACTATGATGAGGTTAATATGTGATTTCCCTGTGGGTTGTAAACTCTATCACTGTAATGAGATTATGCTGATGAGGTTTACAAGACTAGTGTCTTAATCCAATCTCTTTTGAGATATAAAAGAGAGAAGTGAGCAGAGACACATAGGAACCTCATACCACCAAGAGAGCAGTGCCAGGAGCAGAGCACATCCTTTGGACTTGAGGTTCCTGTGCAGAGAAACTCCCAGACCAAGGGAAGATTGATGACACGGGCCTTCCTCTAGAGCTGACAGAGAAAGCGTTCCCTTAGAGCTGATGCCCTGAACTGGACTGTGAGAGAATAAACTTGTCTTTGTTAAAGCCATCCACTCTTGGTATTTCTGTTATAGCAGCACTAGATGACTAAGACATTGGTGTATGGGAATCCAACTGATTTTTGTATGTTTGTCTTGTATCCTGCTACTCTGCTGAATCTTTCTATTAGTTCCAGTAGTTTTCTTGTGGAGTCTTTAGGGTTTTCTATGTATAGTACTGTGTCATCCACAAACAGGGTTAGTTTAACTTCTTCATTACCAGTTTGGATGCCCTTTATTTCTTTTTCTTGCCTTATTGCTCTAGCTAGAACTTCCAGCACAATGTTAAATAGAAGTGGTGATAAAGGGCATCCTTATCTTGTTCCTGTTCTCAAGGGGAATG